CAAAGCAAGCCCAATGGAGATTTCATTCTATCTTGTATTATTATTTCTTTGGATTTTTTTAGTACTTAGAAGATGGAGAATCAACAATCAGAAAATTCAATTCAAGAGTTATCATTTGCTGAGCTACCAAACAAGACATTGGGACTATCATAACCTTTGAGACAACAAAATTGAGATGAAGACCCTCAAGAACAACATGTTCTTCTTTGAATAGATGGCAAGATATAACGCATGTGGTACTATGACCTTAGAAGGGACTCTCCATGTTTAAAGATATTTTTGGAGATAAGAACCACTCCTAATGGTATTACTAATGTTTTGTTTGAAGGAAGTTATGAAGGCCTTAATAATGATCAAATATTAGGGTGGTCTTCTCACCCTAGTATGGGACATTATCAATTATTGAAGAGACCTATCAATTACCTTTGAAGGAAACAAAGATCATAGTATGTGGCACAACTTGGACTTCATCAACATGTAATCACCGCTCTTCTTAAAACTCGTTCCTAGAAGAAGAGGTAATGTCACAGACAAACATATTTATCCTAATAATTATCTAAATAATAAGAATAGGTAGAAATAAGTCAAAGTAGATAAATATGATAATATCTTGTAGAAAGTTTTGTAGAAGCTTCATAGACACTACTTTGCATTTATACATGTCTATAGGTGATTGATAGGTTGAAAACTTGGCCAACTAGGAGGCCATGTGTCGACATGTTGGCCACTTGTAGTACAAGTTGAACATATCACACATACTTAAGCAACTGGCCTTGCAAATTAGACATATGTTCTATAAGTTGGATGCATATTAGAGGTCCTATAACACGTCACCACATATTTCTTAGTTAAGTATTATATATAGAGGCAAGAATGAGGCCTTTTTCACTCTTGTCAATTCCTTTCTTGGTTTTTAGTCTAGTTTCAAGAATCTTATGTTTTCTAGTTTTTGGCAATAGCCATTCTAGTTCTTCCTTGAATATACATACTTTCTTCTATTTTTTTACTTTTCTTTTGATATAGATTCCATGACTTTATGCAACTTCTTTTAATTTGTGTCCTTGATGTAAATAAGCAATAAGGCATGTAAAAGACTTGTATTAACAAGTTTTTGTATCAATAAGCTATACAAGCTGGAGCTAAGAGTCTACTACCAAATTTCCTAAGTAAATATTGCTATAGGACTTAGTATGAATAAATGAACCAAACCACTTCAGGCACTAGCAAAAAACTAATCATATGATACCAATTTTTTGGCTATATACATAATGCCATAAATGTGCATATGCATATACATGGTACCATTTAGAGGTTGAAGCTACAAAATCATGTAATACCACAAAATCCTTTTAAAGATTGTACTATAAAAAAGAATGCTAAATAATCTTTTAATAGAAATAATCATTATTAAGAGCTAAAAAATGTAGACTTTTCTTCCACAACGATATTTGTAGATTAATAATTTAAAAATCCTTGAAAAAAACTCAATACTTTGTCTTCTTCAAGGATGACTTTTTAAGACATTGTAAAATTCAATGTATTTTCCAAAAATATAATGTGCAAGAAAAGTTCAAAGAGCTTTGTATTTTTATTCTTCAAAAAATTAGAAATTTCATTTAAAAGCTACAAAGTGATCAAAAAAGGGAGTTTTTAGGTAAAGACTTCATGGAATTTTTAATTGATTCTTGTATTTTGCATGAGCTTATAAGCCTTCATGTCTCAAAACAAAATGATAGCACAGAGTAAAGAAATTGCAACTTGGTTGAATGTCTATATATGATATTACATACAAAGAAACTCACTTTGGATTTTTGGGAGGAAGCATTGCAGACTGTCACTTATTTATTAAATCACATCACCTTTTGCATGAGAAACTATAAAAATCTCTACAAATTCTAAATTGAGCAAATACCCATTGTATTTCATCTACAAATATTTAGATGTATTGTACTTACTGATATAAAAAAATTCCATAGCAGGAAATTAGAGCCAAAGAATATGAAAACTATCTTTGTTAGTTATCTCACTAATACAAATGCATATTGCCTCTTAGATGTAGAGCAATGCAAAATGATTGTAAACCACAATGTTATTTTTGATAAACTTTTAATTCCTAAAAAAACCATGTTTAAAGTTTTTTCATGATTATTTACATTCCATGAAGTATCTGTTGGCATTTTTCATAGCACAAGCATTGTTGAGCCTACCTTCACAAGATCAATTCATTTCAAAATTGCTGTACTTACAAATATTTTATTTTTCAAAGAGCCAAAAATGATCAAATCTAAAAATGATGAAGATGCTTTTTCACCATCCTTCTTACCTATACAAAGTCAAATCACCAATATCAAGCATCTATTTGTATTAAAGACAAATCTATTGGCAATATAGTCAAAATCACATCCCTTTTTAGGTTTGATCATTTTTGGCTCTGTAATGCACCTTCTTACTTATACAACTATTATACTTTTTACTTATACAACCTTATATATCTGCAATGCACCTTTTTACTTATACAACTATTTTATTTTTTACTTATTTGTTGGTCTTGTATCCAATGAGTACATTTCTAATAATTTAGATACATATGAAGAAGCTTTAGCCAGCCTAGAAGTTGAAAAAATTTAATACACTATGGAAGCCAAATTCAATTCTCTTTTTAAAAATAATACTTGGCTTCTTGTATCATTTCTCTCTTATTACAAACTAATAAAGTATAAAGGTTTTTAGAATCAAGACAAATTTTGATGGATTTGTTGCAAATTTCATGGCACGCCTTGTTGCAAAAGGCTAAATCCAAAAATATGAAGTTGATTACAATCAAACAGTCTACCTTGTTATGAAGTATAAATCCATTCAAATAGTGCTTGCTATTGTCACACAACAATACATAATCATTATCTTGTTTGATATTCAAATAGCATTTTTTTATAGGTTTCTTAATACAAAAATCTACAAGCAATAATCTTAGAATATTAAGATTGCGTACTTGCATGCATCAACATTTGTGTATTTACTACTCGAGAGCTTATACAAGTTGAAGCAATTAGAATGTATTTGAAACCAAATCTTTTATGATTTTTTCATGAAATTTGATCTTGAATCCACCAAGGTTAATCCATGCATATATATCTTGAAATCAAAATCCCTCCTCATTATCACACTTTTTGTAGATGATAGACTTGCTATTTATTCATCACCAGTATAGTTTGAAGATCTTATATATTACATAGAAGAAAATTTTCCCATTACTTGCTCCAATGCAAATCTCTACATGGGATTATATATCCTCCACTTGAAAATTGAAGGCCATATTTTCATCTACCAAGCTATTTACTTTTGTCACATCCTACTTCATTTTAGTTTTGGCAATTGCATCCCTCTCAATGTCTATGCCAATCCAAACACAAAGCTCAATGATAACAATAAATTTTTTAAACTCTTTTTTTTCTACTTTGATGCCTTGAGATATCTTTCCTATGCTCAAATAATAAGTTGTCCTAATATTAATTACATTGTGAGTATGAATGCTCAATTCTCAGCAAATCCTCAACAACACTGCCAAGCAATCACATGCATATTTTGCTACCTTACAAGTACTATACACTCTCTATATTTAAATAATAATGCCAAATCCCTACTACTCAAAGAATATGGAGATGCCAAACAATACAAATGATATCATCAATCAATAATCAAGCACGGACACATTGTTATTACTAAATGGTACTCTAATTCATTAGTGCAGTTGGAAGCAAAATTGTATGGCTACCTCCATAACTGAATCCAACTATGTTCCAATTGGTTTGACAGCAAATGACATCATCTGGCATCAATGTTTATTTGAAAATTTGTATTTCCAACACACACAAGCAATACAACTCTTCTCCGACAACCAAAGCACCATACGCTTGGTTCACAACCCCAAATTCCATCGCCGCTCAAAGCATATTGATATTGTGTATCATTTCATCTAAGAGCATCAACAACTTGGAAACATCAACATTTAATACATCCCTACCATAGATCAACTGTCCAACCTCTCCACAATGGCCCTCCCCTTGATCGTTTCTCCTTGCTTCGCAAATCCATTGATCTGCTTCCATCACCCACAGCAATACCTGTGGACTAATTACATTTATGTTTTTCTAATGCTACAATCCGCTAATATTAGGAACTACCTGTATAAGAGAAGGTGTTGAAAACATTACATGCCCTAAGTCCAGCTAGGAAGAGCTGGACACTTGAGTGTTAAGATACAAGATCAATTTGGTTAAGCAAACAATAATCACTCTGATTAACTGAACGATCACAGTTTGTTACAACCCACTGCTCTAAACCTGCACGCAGCTTTGTGCACCTCTATGTACTCTCTGATCCTTACGCGATGGATGTAAAAGTTCTCTCTTGTAATAAAACCATCATGTGAGCAAAGGTCGAAGCTTCTGAGACTTTTTCTTTACTCTCAACACCGTCTTCTATCGATCATCCACGGCTGCCTTCTTTCCAAACTAGTCTCAACCCAACTTCTTCGCCACGGTAAAAGAGAACCCGAAAACAGATCATACGGCGCTACAACGAGACAAACTGGAAACATTGAGATCGTCTCCCACAACACCTCCAATGTGTGAGACTGGTCACACCATCCCCAGCTTACAATCCGCACTGGCTCCCTAGCTCACCATCCGAAATCGCCGCTGCCACACGAAAGCCTCCTGCACACGATCAGGCTAGAGAAAAGATCCTTCGCTCTTTGGTTATATGACCCCTTCTCGTGAGTCTGTTACAAGACGTTGCGCGCATTCAGATGTTAAAAATGAGTGCTCTGAAGAATGGATATTCATGTGTATCACATGGATATTAACACAACGACCCTCAATATTTACGAGTAGAAACGTTACTGAAACGCATACTGAGTAGAATTTCAGCTCGTGTAGCTAATGCAATGTGCATTGAATAGTAAAACTCTAAAAAAAACCATGACTTGTGCACTGCCAAGATTGAGAATAACATGTTCGTTTGCAATACCACTAAGGAAAATACATGCCATAATTGTCGAGTCCATATTGAAGATTGCATGTGGAATCTTCACTAGTCTCCAATCACAATAAAATCAAAAGCTATCAACCTTCAGCATAAAGCATTGGATGTTTGGTCCTATTGAAAAAAAATGAACAGACGATCACTAACTTCCCACAACTCTATCTAGATAATTCGGATGGTGTTCGAAGTTGTGCAACATGAATGGTACATTTAATCCATTTTACAAAGGCGTGGACGAACAGTCAGATTACGACCCTGTTGCCGAACCAACGCTACGACGCCACCCGTCACACCCGCCAGCATAAGTGTGTAAAGATACTGGTACATGTCGGTGCCTACTGCACAAATCAACAAAGGATAACAATCAGACTCCACTTGGGCAGAATTTTGAATCGAAAAATTATCAAATGTGTGTCATTCGGTATTTTCGACGTTCAATGGAGTGATCGAGGGCTTACATTGCCGGACAGAAACACTGGTGAAGTAAGCGCCTGCCATAAATGTAGCTAGAGCGCCCGGCAACTGCAGTGCACATAGAATGAGTCAACTAAGGGTATTCTTCCAAATCTATGAAGCAAGTGAAAAGTTTAATAAACATTGATTGTCAATTATGAAGCAGTATCTGTTACCGCGAAGGTCTCTTTCCAGCTTATCTGGAGAGATGCTGGAGTTCCTCGTTTGACTTGGTAGTGACCAGCTACAAGATCAATGCTATCCTGTAAACAAAAAAACAAACGTAAGAGAGGTACTCCTATTCATCTTCAGACTTAATCATCCTTACACCCTCTCCAGTGTCCTGTTAACATACCCTATCATTCTCTAACAATAATCTAATACAACTAAGTTCATCTTATCAACATTAGGCTCAACTCATAGTCATTGAAATATCACCGAGTTGAAGCCTTAACACCTGAAAGCTGGGATCTAAATTAATTTAACTTACAGAGCTGTTCAGGCAACCATGGACTGAGATTTGAAGACAGTGATTTCAAGTCTACCATGAAGATTTAGGATATCAAGTAACTAATCCCTAACTACAAACCTGTTTGATTCCATCTCGAAAATTGTTAAGATAGTAGCGGGTAGCGGAGTTGAGACCATCTTGAAGAATACCCCGAATTGTCCTCTTTCCAAATCTGGTTCACAATCGTTTCCAATACTAGAACTTAAGGAGCGCTTACATTACAGTAAGAAGGAACACATCAAATTGTCAAGGCTGTTTGGAAATACACAGCACTCTTAAAAATTTATCAAAGCATACCTTACAAAGTCGCCCTTGAGAGCTCCAGTGCCAGAGTATTGAATGCTTATATGATCTCCATGATCAGCCCACACTGGAAGTAAACATCAGAACATATATGATCATATAGATAGCACACAGGAGGTAAAAATTTACCATATCCATTCCTAGGATACGAAGTACTTCGTGTTTGAATTTTCCACGTCCACAGCTTGTTATGTAGAGAGAATATCGAACTGCAAGTATTTCATTGTGAACCACATATAAATACAAAATGAATAGAGCCCATACACAGTTTGAACTTCTCCTCCAAACTTTCAAATTGCTGAATGGTATTGTTTGGTTCCAGAATTCCAATCCGTTGCAACTGAACCTCAAGAGCTTTCCGTCCAAGTAAGCTCTGCGAATTGATTACACTCGGTATCAAAGGCATGCATGTGTAGAAGTAATATTCTGAAGTTCAATCCGACAAACTCGATACAGCATACAAAATTCAAGGCATGGGGACTAAGAACTAACCTGTGTCACATTAGTACGATCCAAACAATCGATACAGTTAGTTCTAACTTGTCCTTTCTGTACCTCCAGTACTTTGCCCATTGGGTCCCGCAAGTAACATCTGTGCGTTACAAAACAGAACAGATAAATTAAGCTAACAACGATCTCGGCATGATTTCACAACTTGCCAGAGGTCAGCTAACATCAGCAACGCAAGCAACAAAGTCTTAGAAACAATTTCAACGGCAAGAAAAAGATAAACGGATGAATCGATTGAGAGGCACAAATGAACATCATATAATAATACATAGGAGTCAGCTGTCGGAGTCTTACCCTTGCCTACTCAATTCCTCCTTAATATCATCATACAAAGCAGACAGGCGCTCAAAGTGGATATGGCCACAAATCTTATGGAAATCAAATGGAAGATATCTGCACATCTTTATGTCTAGTCACAGAAATCTGAACTAACCAACCATAAAATGGCTTGCATTTAAAGCACTTGGTGTGAGCAACAGCAATGACCTTCAAAAGAGAAATTCGACTTCAGATTTCTTTGACACCAGCCCTACTCGCAAGAGGCTTAACTTATAGAAGAAGCAGGTACCCAAAAAGAATTAAAATTAAAACTTTATTGTTATTCTTATGACTACTAATAAAATCCATCCGCCAGAAGTTAACAAACACAGACACTAGCAGATTACCATGCAGCTGTGTAGAATGCGACAATGTACTAGTAAAGCATGAGAACTACTGAAAGGAAAGAGGAAAATTTTGAATTTTTAAAAGAAAAGAAAAGAAACGATTCCCATGAGTTGATGCAACAGGCCTACAGTTCACAATGATAATAAGCACACTGCAATATGAGCACAAACTATTGGTAAGCAGGGTGTTTAAGTCAACCGACCTAATATGTTCATCTGATAATTTTTCCATGGCTTCCCTATAAGCTACGCTTAAGACGCTTTCGCCACCTTGCTGCATTTACACATGTAGAATCAGGAGGAGTTGAGACAGCCAGACACCTTCACATATTGCAGAGATTACTTAAGTATTCCAAATGACATTGAAACTCCAATTGCTCCTTTATAATTCACACAGATATGTTATTAGTATGCAAATCAAACGATGCCCTCGTACCTGGTTAATCAGATCAATAGCCAGTATATCACCATAGCGCTTTCTTAAATCCCTGAAGTGCCTCTCTACCGCTATAGGCTGCAGAGCAGTGACAATAAGACTTCACATTAAATATTTATGGTATTTTTTAAGAAATAGGTTAAGCATGAGCCCAGACTATAAGTAGGGTCGTGCGTACTCGTAGTTACGTTAGAAAAAGTCAACACATGAACAACGACAAAAAAACATAATCCTTACAAGTGAATGACTACTCGGAAGACATTTTAACAATCATTCTGAAGAGAAGTTAATTACTTGAATGTGGCAACTCCCATCATCAACGAAGTCTCCACTAAGACATCAGTTAAACATTAGCAATTATCACCTACCGTATTTTCATAGTTGACAGTCTTGATCTGAGGCTTGTAAGAAAGATCTACAACTTGCTCCCACATTACTGGAATAGAACCCCTCACCTGCCGAAACACAAAAATCGACTTTAATTTGCAAATATCTCACGCATTTGCAGGAAGTGAGTATACGCTATGGAAAATACATTACCATCACGGTAATCACAGTACATGTGTAACTTGGTAGCGAGAGGTGCAGAGGAATGGTTGAGCATGGTTTGCAGTTAAGAAAGCAATGAAAACCTGTGTATAGGAAGCAAAAAAACCCTGCGATTCAAGTATTTGCTCGGACTCCACGAAATTGGCAACATTGCCATCTAGATCAGCACCCCTTCGCCACATCCGTGTCCCTGAACAATATGATCAACATCAACCCGACTACAAACTAAAAGTGTCTGACCCACCTAACAAACAACCATATCCATGCACAGTATATCAATTATCTATATATTGTTTTAGAAATCAAGGTTCTCAGCGCAGCCCTTGTAGAAGTGATCTGGTAAGAGAAAACACGGTTGAGGAACATCAAGAACTCACCAGCACGTTTCATAGAACGCCTTGCAATTAAAGATACCTTGACGGGTTTGTTTTTCACAACAGTCTCAATCGTTTGGAAACTTTCACAGCAATCAAGGAGTCACAAACGCAATAAAAAAACTTCTTTTACAATAACCTCAATTATTAGTGCTTATAAGTCTCGGAATCATTTCAAACGGTCTTTCAGAATTTCAAGACAGCTATTGAACTGTCAACGCCCAATTCCAAATTACTTCTTCAGATATAAAAGCGGTGTCAAGTCTTTCATAGAACCACAAATTTACTTTCCAAAAAGGACTACTTCTCAAAATCCAATCCATCATGCAGGTGAAACAATGTAAAATGTCAGTAGGATATTGCCTTGGATCACAGGCAGAATATAAGGCTCCAGCTGCACAATCCCAATACAGTAAAGCAATCATTCCACAAGACTAATAAAACATGAACAGAAAAGTCCATTTGAATGGTTACCAGCTCAACATTCAATGAAGGACACGATCAAATAATTCGAATACCTTTTGGTTAATCAAATCCTGCAATAAATTCTTGTTCCATAGATATCTGTCCTCTGCCTGATCATCCCGAAAAAACACACCCAATCAATTCAGTAGAGGATCGCACCAATATAGGAATAAAACGGCTTACAATTATAATTAAAATCATCAATACACAATAGCATCACATCTTGCATGAAAATGCATTCAAGGCTAAATAGATCGAGAACACACGTATTTCCAAACGGAGGGATGTTCTGACTTAGCAACATCTTGAAATGTTCCTGCGCTGCAATCAGAACATTTAAGACTCGTCAGTTCAGTTCGACTCAGTTCAGTTTCGCTCTATCAGTATTTTTTTAGTGAATTTTTTCTTAATTTCGCGGAGGGTGGGGGTTTGATTGATTGACTAATAACACAAAACAAAATAGAAAAAGTAACAAACAATTTTCAAGCCATTCAAATTCCCAGATAAGACTTAGTTCGACCCAAACCACTGGGAAAAAACAAAACCAGAGGAATGTGTAGTTAATCGAAATTAAAGCCATTCTACCCCTCTGCAAACCATTGATCGTGCGAAATAGAGGACCTTGCATTGGTCATTCATTCCAGACTGAGCACAAAATACACACGGAGAAAGCTTCATAGAACCCTATGGTGCTTTAATACGATCTGAAAATGACATCATGGATATATAAAACGAGGTAAAACAAAGCCACCGAAGATAAAACACTACAACATATGAAAATGAACCATTCAAAAGCATCACCTGCACAGCAAAACTATGGAAGCGGAGAACGGGAGAATGACAGCTAAAGTCGTATGAAACATGACAACCTACCCTGGAAACCCAAAGCAGCTGAGCACGGTGGAGCAACTTACTTCAGTGTCAAATCGACATCATAAGAGAAATAGAGTCCGGGCGTCGATTCGAGAGTCTTCAACAAGCCCACGAGGTGTGCCTCGTCTTTTTTCTGCAGTGATGCTATATACGATAAGGCCGCAATACTTAACAAGAGGGTTGGAAGTGGATGTGTATGGGTTGCAAAATAGTTTGAAGAGTTCTAAATTGCACCTCTTCAGGGGTTGCTTGGTGGAGGTTATTGTTGCAGCTGAGAACTTTCATAGCAGTCACACGGTAAATAGGGTTGCCTTTATACAGGCCCAAAGAGTCACGACCAGTAATTACAAGAGCATGGGCACCTGAAAGCACCATATACATCGCTTCATAAAATATCAACGCAGCCTCGACACACTACGAACAAACTATATGATGCAAATATGCATTGGCATTTATCTCGTCCACGTCGCAGATTAGACAGGCAGTTAAAGGTCTTCTGGCCGTTCTGACACTTTGATTAACATCACCGAATTGCCATTCAATGTTATTGTCTAAATTTCAAGCATGTTGGTGCAACTGTTATCGCTGTTGCTCTTGACATAAATGCAAAAACCTAAATCTAATCAAAAATATTCCGCACATATATTTATTTATATATTTATATTTATATTTATATATATATATATATATGCAAGATATGAAGAAGCTCTTATTTACATTCATATTTTAATTTTCCAACTTTACTTCTTCTCTTCACTTGAAAGACTAAATTGAGACATCTGCCATAATCCAAATCCATATCTCAAAATGACCAGAATGCTTAATCCTTGTCATTCGATTGCAGCATCTATACGTCTAACATACTGAAAAGTGCAGAAAAAATAAATAAAATAAAAATCACAACGTTCATAAAATCGGCTAAGCGAACACAGATTACGGGGTACTAAAATTCTCAACAGAACAGTATTGCTTGCCTGCAACAAGACGGAGAATTCCCACCAATCCGAAGACGATTTGCGCATGTGGTATACTGTCGTCTGGAAGCTGATCTGCATCGGCGTCACCCGAATTTTCAACAGCTTCACTTAGCATTGTTCATCCGACGATCAATATTCCATACTACAGTGAGAAATGCTTTCATTGCACTCACAAAGTGACGAGTCTCCACTGATGGATTGAACAAAAACAAATAAATAAATGAAAGCATAACATATCGACCACACGATACAGGGATGCTAACTTACTCGTGTAGCTCAAGTCACCGCTAGAACGATCAATTGAAAGATACTCAGTAGCCATGTGATCGGTAGGCTCCAAAACATACTTGTCCGGAAGCTCCCAAAGTCGCATCCGAGTGCACGGCTTGCGAATATTATTCGAATCCCCCATCTCACTCTCTATATTAAACAACCCTGCCTAAGGCAACGCACATAAATTCGGTGAACAACGATAAACGATATCCATTGCACAATCACTTCGTATGTAATAAATTTTTACAACCACCAGAATGTGGAATCGTATCAATGTTACCAAAGACAATATGTTCAAATTTCATACAGACCAAGAGGAATGTCCTGAGATTGTACAATCACACAACACGCACAAACTTACTGTAGTAAGCATGCAAACACGCCTGATATATTTTAAGACAATGATTATAACGCAAGAATTGCAAAAAGTACTGAGTGCAGGAAGATTCAGCACATAATGTCGCACTATGCCTTTGGCGTACCTTCGACTAAGCCTTGCAATGCAGGGTGGCGAAAAGACAAGATATTAGTATGCGTGAAAATAAGAGAACCTAAGCGAAAATCTCGCCACTGGCTCCACAATCAATCATGCGAGGAGACCTCTCTCACATATTTGCCCCTCACAAACCTGGCCCAGATCGCCGAGCCGTGCCAAAGCACTGTGTCTCACTTTTTTCTGTAATCTCCAAAGCCTCACACATTCACTAGGACTCCAAAACCTTCCGAGGGCCTTGGCTAGGACGTGACCACCTCTTCACAGAAGAAAATAAACACTTCTTCTACACTCCACTCTATCTCATCCCAGAAAATAAAGTAAACAATGATTCTTAACGCCACACACTCCTCCCATTCCCAATAATCACAGATCCCGAACTCGCGTGGAGCTAAAACACAAACATTCGCGACCAAACTCCTAAAACCACAAACGACATATCCCTGAAACCGCGAGTTCGATACCAAGGGGGGCAACAAAAAAATTACAAAAATATAAATATAAATAAATAAAACACAACAGAACGCCACTCAAATCCCAAATACAGATACAAAACAAGTATAAGAAGTGACAACAACGCTCATTTCCCTCGCCGCCGATCCTTTCCAACCTGCCTCCACAAAATTGGATCAACACAGCATGTGCTAATCTCCACAACCCTCGTGCTCTTGCGTACAAGACAGTCAAACCACAGCAATCGAGTGCCTTAAAACATACCCTGATATTACGTCAGCAGTGGCAGCGTCGATGATGCAGTGAGCTGGTGAAACAGGGGATTGAAGGAATGTGCCCCGGGAAGCTTCACGAGCTTGAGCAAGTCCTGCAGCAGTTTGCCACCACGCCGGTTTAGCAACGGAATTGCGTCCTGCTCCTTGGAAGCACCACCCCCAACGATTGGCGACAAAACCTGGGGCGAAATTCGAGAGAAACGGGGACCGGGAATCAGCAACGGAGAGCGATTCGGGGCAGGGGAACTTGGGAATCAAGGATTGGGTGCGGAAAGTGTGAAAAATGGAGCCTATCAGTATTTTGCATTCGCATTTGAGCATCTCTCAATTGCCGAAAAGAATCTAATGCTGACTGACTATGGTGATGAACGAGGGTGACGACGACGAGTGTGCTTAGTATTTCTCCTCCTCCGAAGGAAGATTCCACCTGCGTCGATTCCTATCTCACAGAATTCGATCCTTCGCCTTCCAACGCAATCGCTAGTGACTTCCGCAACGCCTACGGAAACCTTCGACGGGAGGCAAGGTGGCTTAGAGACATAGTATCAGTGAAAATTCCTCTCTGTGACGTTCCTGTTGTTGTAGTTTTTGACATAGCTCTAAAAAAGAATTGTTCAAACATATTTTTATTCTTTAGATTTCGGAGAAAGTTTGATTGTTGGGTAACGATTGAGGAATGATTCATTAACAAAAAAATTAGATTAATTTGTGGTTGATCCAATAATCAATGTTTGGCTAAATGTATGCTAATAGTCAACTGATTTGGGTGTAATAAATTTTATTTATAATAAAATAATGGTAGACTCAAGTCAAAGATATAAAAAAATGACAGTGTTTATTTATAGTAATCGAGATATGTGTGCCTGTATGTATGTATGTATATAATTCTAATTACAAGCTAGTATAAGTTTTAAAATTTGTTGCAATTAGTGCTGTATTGTATTCTGATTGGCACAATATAATCTACATTGGTTTCATTTTAAACTATTGCATTAGAATCTTTAAAAATTTAGCCTTAATTAAAATAATAAATTAATAAATTTATTATGGAAGATTATGTAACTTGCTTACTCACAATTTATTTATAATTATAGTGGAATGTTAAATATACCCAATTTTTTATTAAATTGATCCACCCATCCTAACCATCACAAACAAAAAAATGACCTCTAGATTTATTTCTCCACAATTGGATCTGCAACCAATAAAAACCAACCACATAATAATTTTATTAATTTACCATGTTCTTCATTAAGAATGGGTCTATTTGGTAAAAGTATGGGTCTTTTTAACATTTCCCTAATTATATTAAAAATAATAGATATATTCAGTAATACTCATGCATACCTGTTTTTAAATTTCTATATATATATATATATATACACACACACAACAGTAAATGCAAAAACCATAATCAGGTTTTGAAGACTTGATTGTACACACAATAAAAATAAGAATCAATTATTATTATTATATTCTAATATATATTACTTTTAAAGTTTTTTTAAATTTAAAATTTAAAAGATGCATATTTAAAAATAATAGCCAATATTTCATGGATTCATGATGACTAAATTTGCCCACTGTAGGCCTTGATTACACTTAATGCACACAAGGATACTAGTTGTTTCACTTATTTTTTGAGTTTGACCGAGATAAGTTAATCAATCATATATGAGTCAGTGAGTAGAACAAGAAACTTTGAATTTTGGTGTGTACATTGAGCTTGTCAATACTAATGTCTGTGAAGTTATTAAGCCTCACGGCTTTACTCTTTTTTTTGTGTTAACTTTGAGATCAAATGAATCGTGTGCAAGACTTCAAGCAAAACACCAAATTCTAAGAGCAAGATAAAATGTATTGGCTGTTAAGTAAATCAATGAAGCAATGTATGGCTACAATCTTTGCTCTACTTAGTCAAGCCAACTAGTCAATTACACTCACTTAGTTAATAGTTTTGCTCTATTAAGTAGATTCATTTTATCTCACTCTACTTTGTGTGGCCCAACAAAGAATGTGAAATCTACCAAGGTTGCATCCTTTGCCGGAAATGCTTCGATGATACACTAATACACCCAGCACACACGATGCATAATCCATCATAACGATCTCCATAAGCAGAACAAAGTTTCTTTTCGTGCAAAAAGAGTACAGGTTTCAGAGTATCCTTACATATTCAACCATGCAGCAATATGGACTAAATTCCCATTTGCAGAGCAGCATTCATCACTATCTCCATGAGTAGAAATCCAAAGGCACAAGACCAATTTCAGATTTAAAAGAGGGTGTGCAATGGCGACTACAATGAGAAGGAAACTGGAAACATGCAAAACGACGGTCTACACAACCCGACAAAAATCTCTCTTGTGATGCCAAAACACCACTTTATAACAAGTAAGGCGTTTCCAGAAGCCTTCGGCATAGTAAAGTGTAAAAAGTAAATATGATGCATCAATCGAATTGATCAGCCTGCAATCATCCAACACCGTTTCGTGTGAATCTATGACTTACACATAAATCTCTGCACATAAACACACACGGCGAGGGAGGGAGGGAGGGAGAGAGAGAGAGAGAGAGAGAGAGAGAGAGAGAGAGAGAGATACTCGAATTCAAATACTGACTCCCAAAATATCACATTTCCCAAAGGCAGTAGTTAAGGAACTAACTTGAGTAGGTTGAGAAGATGGGGCACCAACACCTGTCACGCGCTCAAGATGTTGTATCCGTTTCTCTAATTGCGAATAATATCTCTCCGCCTGCAGAAAACAAAATAAATAATACAAAAGTTTGAGAAACCAGCTCACTATTAACAAATGGCATGCAGGAGCTTGAGTGAGAAAGTTACGCATCTAAATTTTCCATCTGAATTAGAGTAAAGTTGAAGCCAAAACATATTTCTGAAGTGCAACATGAACGTAATAAATCCGATCGTTAAATGAGAATAATTCGCGCATTCTTACTTAGCTAGCTGCGTTGCATGAAAGAATGTACACTAAATTATTTGCAAGGACTCAAAACCATTTCTGCGATAAACATTCTTTCCGAGACAATTCATCGAAACCTAACGAGGAAAGCGCCATAAAATATATCTGGTAGGGTTGTAGGCTAATCAATATTCAGTCCCGAAAAGAGAAACGATCCGAGGGGGGGGGGGTAAGAAACAAACCAAAAAACAAGTCCGCATCTCATGACAGCAATAAAACCCTAGAATGGGTATTATGTCACCGCAACAAAGTTTTGAGAACAGAGAACAAAATTAGGGTAGGTATGTAAATCCATCAATTCTTGCCAACAGTCTAACATCGCATTTACGAACAAGTTCGAGTTGTCCAAAACATCTACCCATCTTACTCCGATCATAAGGAGTTATTATATCCATTCACACTGACCAAGCTCTATTGGCAATCACTCCAACTAACGCCTATTGAAACGCCTGATTAGGAAGAAAAACAAAATAAAATAAATAAAATAAAAACGAAAACCGGCCACTGCATCTATCCGTGCATGACACACATTCAAGATCTGCAAGAACCCCAAAAACTAGACCCAAAAAACAAAAGCACCAGATTCAACAGCAAGAGTACGCAGCGCACAAATTGCCCACCTCATCGGCAAGAATGTGGTGGCTGCCCCACACGTCCCTCTGAAGCTGGAACATAGCAATGCCCGAAGCCACGGCGAATCCCGTGAAGAAGGAAGCTGCACGCACTCGAAACATGGCTCCTCCCTCGCAACCCTACTCCACGCCCTCCTCCTTCCACACACTTCCCTCTATCTTCACCGCTGCCTCAGCCTCCACCCTCCTTCCCCTGTGATGCTCGATGCTCCGACACGGACTCACTCCCTCGCTCGGCTCGGCACAAGACAAAATAACCACGCTGCTGGCTGGCGATCGATCACCCTTGCATCACGAACTGATCCTCCTCCGAAATCCTCCGTCCCTCGCACGCACCACCGCACCGCTCAGTCTGCTTAGCCCTCCCTCGTGCCTCGGCGCTCTCTCTCGCAACCGCGCCAGCCAGCCAGGGACTCAATCTCACAGAGATAGATACAGCCCCCATTATCGCAAATTGTTCTGTGCATATTCCTTCGCCGCAGCCCGCCCCATTACCGAGGCTTGCCGTGTTCGTCTGAATGTGTGTGTATGTATGTATGGAGATTGTGTACATGTACTCAGACGTACGTATCGCACTTTGTATCAGAACGTGATGACGACTCGGAAGTTTTGTTCAGGATTATGTCCGGGAATTCATTTCAATTAAAAGTGCTTGTTTTAATACATCTGTCGGTAAAAGTTTCGGTGAAAAGATAAAAACAATTTGTGTAAATTTGAAGTTTTATTAGTATATTTAGATATATATATTATATGAGTAGTGACATGTAAATCAATAATTAATAGAAAATAAAATGACTGTTTGAAGTTATTTTCGGTCAATAAGTTGTAATTGCAACTTAAATATTTATTTTTTGATATATGATTTTGTACCATTGAGTTGTAAAGTGTCAAAAGTAATAAAATTGTATATGTATATATATAATTTGGAGACTTGTTTGTACTTGGCATTCATAGAGTAAGAGTAATAATATAGAAATACTTTGTCATTAGCATTATTTGTTATAGATCAAGCCACAAAAAACTACCATATAAATAAAATTATTATAATGGCACACAAGTATACAAAATTTACTAGTAAAAATATTTCAACAATAATCGGACCACACTATAATTTCTATAGATTCAATTAGAAATTTATGAAAATTGGAAGAGAAATATTTTTTCAAAATTGTTGCTTGGAATTTTTAATATCTCCATCTTTTTGTATTTTAACTTATTATTATTATTATCATTATTATTTAAAATTTTTAGGATACTCAAAGAAAACCAATGAATTTTGCTTCAAAGATCAAGTTTGACCTTTAAAAGTTATATTCTACTTACTTTGACTGTAAATTGTACAAGTGGCTACTCTACTGTTATTTTATTCTTGGTAATATTTTAATTATTCTTAAATTTTTAATATCAAAAAGAAACTTTATATCCTTCTGAAGACTCAACACTGACAAAGTTATGCTACATTGTAAGTTAAAGTTTAAATATTTTTGTATATTCAAATTATAAAATATTAAATAAAAATATATAATCTATTATAAAAAAAACACATGAGACACGATATTCGCAAAAAATAAAAATAAAAATAAAAACTTTGTTTTTTTTTTTTGAGCAAGTTACAAAGTATTTTCTAATCTAAAATCGTTAAATGTAAAAATATGTTTAATAATTATAAATGAATAAATAGTCAAACAAATCATAGCAGCACAATTCTCACATTTAATATAAGAAACGCAAATGCTAAAAACCCCTTTGCATACATCTTCGACACATAAATTTGTTGTTAGGCATAAATATACTTTTTACAATTTGTTCACTACCTTGACAATACGATTAGCTTGGGTTAATCAACAAACTGGAAGAAACAATTTTTTTTTTTTTTCTCAGTCTGCCACCTCAATTGCAACAACACTGCTTGTTATGACACAAGCAAAAATAACAAATACAAAAGGACTGAGTTTTTGCACAATACCTAGAGTAAGGAGAATCCTGCGTGCAGTCTTTGAGACGTGGATTCAGAAGATTGCTCTGGAATTCACAATGCTGGGAAGAAATAGGTAAAGTTCTCACAGTTCAAACGTGGAGTTGTATCTGTGGAGATTATGTGTCTAGCCTCCATTCAACCTGGTCACAAGATTAAAGTAGTCCCCTTCTTTGCCCCAGAGCTCTAAGTTGTCGCTGAGGCTATACAGAGAATTGAACAGGATAGGAAGTTGGCTCACCGCCTCACGAAGCAGGACACGAAACACCAGGTGTTGAAAAGAGACACGCCGTTGATTTGAGCTTCTAATGTTCATTAAACTTGAGCAGCAAGAATCAATTGCAATTTAGTCAAGAATCGTACTTCAGTTAATGATCTGGAGAGATAATATGATGACCTCTCACAAATTTGTGGAAACTCCATCTTAAGACTGAAGCATGGAACTAGATCAATCAATCAGTTCATGACCAAGAGTTCTTCACAGCAGTTTCCCAACTGTCCATTAATGTCGTCATCATGAAAATCGAGATCCGAATTGAGATTACACTTAGTTCCGATCAATTCAACTGAGTTTCAAAACGCAGATTTCTGACACTTGTACGATCACGTAGGCTTCCTTGATCTTGGAGCGTCGCAGTAAAATGTACAGCAGTGAAGAACATGCTGGGTGTGCCTGCAACAATCACTACGTACACCAGACCACCACTCTTCATCTATTCCGTTACGAACACGGTCTCAGAAACACATGAACATTAAAGGTGAAGCAGATCTAAATTACCAACATCGAACAAATGAGAACTCGTCTTCAGTTAGATCTGTAAGCACAATGAAATAGCAAACAACATAATCCTGACCTGGCTCGAAGAGGAGAAGGAATGCAAAAGGGGGGAAGGGAATAAAACAAGGAGATCATTGCCATACACATAGCAAAGCCATTACCATAAAAGAACAGTGTCAGCTGACTCTATAAGAAGCAGTTGTGAACAAGCCTGCAGGGTCACTAAGAGCGGGAATACGAACAGAAAACGTACAACCCGTGAGCCACATCGTTTCTGAGTACGTTACAAACTATACAACAATAATAACTTGTTACTCCAGCAATGGAGACAACATTTAGAAAGCTCGTTGTACCATGTCTATTGTTCAATACAAGCCCAGTCCTATTACCTGTTGTACCTTGGCAAAGCTGTGCTTGTGAAAGTGAACTTCCAGGCACACATTGCGCAGTGTCAAAACTAATAATGTACACAGTACAAACAAACTAAAAAAGAAAGTTTATCATGTAAATGCATTTAAATGATCCCACTGGATGATTTCCATCAGGGCATGTAGATAAATTCTCCTGTGAGTGACAACAAGGAGCTTCCTACTTGAAAGTCGGTAATCCTGACGTCTGGTCCAACCTTAAATGCTTTTTTAGGAGAGCCGGTTTTGGATGTTTTTAAGGAGATGACTTCGCCACCTTCCTCAACGTCAACCTTGAGAATGATAGGATACTCGATTTCATCATACCTACCAGACTGCTTATCTGATCTCGAGAATCGCAGATTTCCATCATCATACAGGACTTGAAGAGGTTGAAATTCGTCAGGAAGAATGTCCTTGAAAGAGCTCGACATAACAGGACTAGTGAGACTGCCACAGTAAGTGCAAGTGTATATTAAAAGTGCATCTGATTCGGGACACACTGCATAAAGGGTGCATAGAAAACACATGCACGGTATTAGAACTTTGATCTCAGTGAATAGGCGTAACAAAATTTACCTACCTCGTATTCAAATCTTGCTCCCGAATCAGAATTTTCGCATTCACATTAAACGGTTGATGAAACAACCTGTTGTCACACATAACTTGCTCAATTCACGATTTCAATAGAACCGCAGTTCTCCCATCCCATCCCATTGAAGTGGCTATTATACGGAGACCTAATCACGCCCCACAACTGTAAAGGCACCTGTTACGCTTTAAAACCAAAACAGCTCTTCCTGAGTTCGACGACACAGGTGTGACTACGAGACATCCATCATCAATGAGATCCTGCGCTTAGGTGTGAGTCTATCGACAAACACTAATCCAAATCTTGATAGGGAAATCTAAAAAGACCAAACAGTAGTAATCAAAATGTAAACAGCCTGAAAGCATGGTCATGTAGTGGTTCTACCTATTCCTTCCAAGTTCCGCTCGTACATTTGATGCTGTTAAACCCACCTCGCTAAGAACAACACCCTGAGGATACACGATTGCATGAGACGCAAACCAAGGGCACAAGAACAGAGGACGTAAGCTAGTTAAAACATATTTTCACACCAGATCAAAACTGCCATTCACCTGAATTTGTAACGATAAATTGAAAGTAGAACATATTGTTCATATGAGGTTGAGCAGATAACGTGATGGAGTAAATGCATCAATTTCTTGCTCTGCCTACATTGAAGAGGAACCATGTGCTCTGAGACCTGAGGGAGTTAGTACCTTGTAAATTGCTTGTTTGACAGAAACTTCAATTCTCTTCACATTGCCTCCCAATATATCCCAATTGCTACCGCCCACGGCTACGCTTAAGTCCCCGCAATCATCCAACTGCGAAGATACAGGGCACCAAGTGAGAAGTAAATCAAATATCTCCCTTCAGCTGCTTGCGGTTGGCGTATCTTGCTTATTTTAGCAGAAGCCTTCCGCATTTCTTAGATGTTGTGCAGCGGTGACAGTAATAAATCTTTAAGAGAAAGGGAATAAGCTTGGCTAAAACTCCATCATGTTCAAGTACACTTCCCGCCATTTTTAGACCATACCTGATACAATGAGAGAGCATACCTTAGACTTCACAAATACTAAAAGAGCCTTCTCAAGGAGTCTCCCCATAAAACACTTGGAACCTGGTAATTGACCAGACGATTGGAATTTTGAATATCCTCCGTCAAGCTCCGCAGAGAAGATGGGGAATACACGATTTTCCCTCTTGTTCGTTCTAGTTGCGATGTTGTAATTAGGATCGGCACAGGTTATGCGTAACTGCCCACCTGAAGAGAATGTTACTGTGAGAGTCGAAACGTCAAAAGATTCTAAATCGATAAGAAACGATCCTAAGCTCATCAGAGGCACTTGCAGACTACAAGATAGCCAGTAACCGTAACACACACTACAAGTGCGACACGAGTTAATTACTGCACACACACTCACACACACACACACTATAAAAAAGAAAAAAAAAAGAAAAGAAAAAAGAAATAGAAGAGGTTGCATGAAACATCTGTCAATGGAGCGTGAGAAACTCTTCATTATAATGCTGAGAACGCTTTTGTACCCACAAATTAAGAGCGTCAATACTAATCCACCTACAACACACGGCCATTGCAGAGCTACTCCCGCGGAAGCGCAAGAGAGGAGTCTCATACCCTTAGCATAGGTACAATCACCACGATGCGTCCCATAAAGATCATGCAATCATAAAAAGACTCTCAAATTAATGTCCCCAAGAATTACCGATCACGCAAAGCCCAGAACCCGTATAAGAAAACGGCAAAGCACAACATTACAGGCCAATCATGGCTTACTCAAGGTGGTGGTGACAACAGCAACAGCAGGCACAAGGGCAAGCCGACTGCGACGCTCCAGAGGCTGCTGATACAGCTCCATGGCAGAAGCGCAATGGCAAAGACGCCAGTTGGAACGACAATCGCATGAAAAGGGCCACCACCACCCCAGCGGCTATGGCCACGATTGCAGCACCCCAAGTGTTGGAGGGGGGGAGTGGTGGGCTGGTTTCCGCAGGTTTTGCGGCGACGCGGGGATTGCCCCAACAACCATCGCAGCTCGCCCCGAAGCAGCAACACAATCCTTGTGTTGTTGTTCCTTCCTCATGCTTGAATGCGGCGAGGCCAATCTCTTTGGGCTCCCATTGCGAGCGGGACTCCGTCGCGGCTCTCGCTCTCTCGCAGCTTGAGACTAAGCACCCCCCCCCCACATTCCAACTCCAGTGGATGGATGAACTTCTACATCCCTTGTGCATTCTCGGTCGATGTGAACGGTTTCATCCTTCTTCATTGTTTTTCTCTGAGGCGACATGCACAATCTTCATCTGGCGTGCCCTTAAGCAACGTTTTTATTTTATTTTGTTTTATTTTATTATTTTCAAAAAATCTAGGGACATTAGCATTTAAAAATATGTATACATATATACATATATATATATATATATATATGTTTGTATTTTTTCTCATGTGATAAATGATGATTTGTATACTTAGATGAACAAATTCGTGCTCTTGATTGCATACATGGATACATTAAACAATCTCTTAAACAATAATAGCTTGGATCAGTTTTACATTTATAAATGTGATAATCATTTGTAATATTAGTTGAGCATAATCTTTTCTAATTTAATGTGTTATTAATTGTAGAAATTTGCATGTACATTTTTTTTATGTGTAATCATGTTCTTTAAAAAGAAATGAAAAAATGAAATATATATATATATATATATATATATATGTATTGAAATAAATGGAAGAAGTTATTCTCTTGCTATAATATGCAAAATCTAATACGAATTTATGCACAGACATACATAATTGCCATCAAGTTAGACAAACATGCCCCATTCAACTCTACACAGATGCAACAATCAAAATCTGTGGAGGTGGAGGTATTCATGTATGCCAAATTATCTAGCAATATTTTTTGAGTGTATTTTGAACAGTATTGGTACAAATGGCTAATTCTTTGGTAATAATATTTTTCTTAGTTTTACATTTAAAATTGAAAAAGTTGATAAGCACAGTAGTGCCCCGAAATTTCTGACCATCTTCACCAACTTACTAATGGTTGGAAAGGTTGCCATCAAATTATTAGGGTTACACAAACATCCACAACTTTAGTGTCTACCTTCGATCAGTCTACAGTATTTCTTTCTTTCTTTTCTGGGTATTTTGTTTTTCAGATTAATTGCTTCATTTCTGCAGTAGAACTCGCAACTTATATCTAATGGTTGTTGAAATACCGCCTCTAAATTCAGTCGCCACTTGGAATCAGGGAATTGCCTCCACTGAATCTAATGTGCCATTGAATCTGAAATGATTCTCATGCCATGGTGATACCATTTGAGACTACAAGCTTTTACTGCACTTTATTTGGAGCAACGCCGCTAAAGAAGCGCACCGAGAATTCGATGCAAAGCTGGGGCTATTCGGCAGTGGGGTGCTCTTTCGGTTTAGGTCAAAACAAAAAAAGAGTGGCAAACATGTGCGGGAACTTTTCTGAAGTGTTCAAGTTGACAGAGGTAATTTCATGCCGCTCACAACGTGCCAAAGAATCCCACTCCACTCTTGTTATTGTGGAGAGGTAGCACTTTTGACGGGCAGTGAAGAGATAGACGCTGGATAATGTTTGTGTGAGAGGGAGTTTTGGAAATAAAACAATTAGGGAAAAGAGAACCTGTTCCCTCTGAGATTGAGCTTGACATTGGCACGTGTTTTTGGTGCAATTCTGGTGAAGGGGGAGAACCAAAGTCTGGGTTCCGAGGGTTTTAGGGTTTAAGGGTTTTTTAGAGTAGATTTCGGAGTTGTTATTTGTATTTGTGGGGAGCTTTTGGGCTTTTTTTTTTTCTTCTGTGGAATGGCGCAGAGGGGTTCAATTACTGGGAGAGAGTGATAATGGAGCGTTGGTGTAAGAGGAATTGTGGGTGGACCATGCCAATTTGTAATGCGAGCTGAAATGTACACTATGGAGATTTCAACCTGCAGAGTTGTAGGAATTGATTTGGGATGGCGGCACTTGGTGCGGCTTGCGAAGCCACCTTGTGCAGTGACTTTGAGCCGTGGAATAACGAACATTTGTCCATTCAATTTGAAATGTGGAGAGCCCAAATTGCAAGCGTTGTGGAGTACAAGGTCTCTTCTTAGCGCTTGATATGTATACATTCGAAAATTTTGGAAAGGTGTTGCTTGCCTTCCTGCACTCATGATTTAAATCAAGGCCGCGTGTGAAGGTTTTTGAGTGGGTTGTTTGAAAATTGGCAGGGTTTTGAGATCTTCCAGACGACCGTCGTCATTGAGCGTCGCCAGCATTGAAGTGGAGCCAACAATAAACGAGCTTAGGATGTCCCCATCAGCTCAAGGTAAAATAGTTTATAGGGTTTAAATTTCAAAGAACTTGGCTCGTGAAGTGTTCGAATCGATTTTACAATTGTGTATGAGAGTAGCTAATAAAGGGCTGTTTTGATGACACTTTGGAAGGTTGTGTTCTGTCTGCGATTGCAGACATCCTTGAATGGGATTTGGAGGGATGGAAGGTGGTGCTGGAGGAGACCGGAGAAGTTGTGGGGCGTGTAGAAGAGGTGTTGAACCTTTGCTCGTTTTGGGATCCCTCTGTTGTGGAATACTGTATGCTCAAAGTGTTCGACAGCAATTCCCCAGGTATTGAGTACTTGATCCCGTGGGTGGAGGACATTGTGAAGGAAGTTGATTGCAACGCCGAGCGTATATTTATCAAGGTGAGTATTTGAATCCTATCCCAATCGTATTGATGCAAATACGTTATGATTTGCACCGCACTAAGTGACTAAGTGAACACGTGCTGAATTTAATTCTTTGATATGGTTTGTTGTAGCCACCAGAGGGCCTTCTGGAATTGGCAAAGCGACCTGAACTCCTCCGCAAGATTCGGACAGCCTTGGAAGAGTTTGGTCTACATACTGAAGGTATGGGCGGGAATTTGAGCGCAGAATTTGTAGTTGGTAAAGGAAGCATATGTGCTTGAGGCTTCAAATGCTGTGGGTGGCTAAATCTGCCATAGCCAACTTATTGAACTGGTATCAATATCTGTGGAGCAGGCCAAAAGGAACCGCACATGCCTACACGCCGTCAATTGCAGGCAGCAGGAGAATACGAGTTGGTAGAAATGATAATGGTATTTCAATATTTTCAGCATATTTTGGTTAAAACATTGCCTTCTCCTGGTACTTTCTCAAGGAAGATTGCACATTCACGAGAATTTGCTTGTTAACTCATGAAATCCTCGGAAATCGTTGGCTAGGATGCTGGAGGGTTTTCATCGGTTGCTCAGGATCTCAGGCTTCGTACGAAACGACGGCCTGTGGGATATTGGTAACGCCTGTTTCTTTGTTTTCTGGTCTCTCATGTGTTCATCATGTACTAGAAATATGTATGTCACAGTGGCTGCAGTAAGTCACTGTGTTTATACGAACGTATGTGACTATGCCTCACCTTGGTATACTTCATCAACTTATTCGCTCATTGTTTTTGATGTTTTATAGGGAAGACCTGCAAAATCTTGATTCGGAAATCGAAGCATTTTTGGCGGAGAGCTGGAGAGAAGAGCAAAACCCAGAGACTGGTTCGTAGCAATATCGTGATTTCTTTTCTAATGTGTTGCTGCAATACCCGTCATCAGACCTTGTGGGATTTGCGCTCGACAGATTGGGATCTAGATGCTCGGAAATGAGAATTGTTTGAAGCGTTTGCATTATGTTCTAAAATGCTGGTATGATATCTGCTTCCTCTACGATACAGCCTGAAGTGTGACAAGATTAATGTGAGTGAGAATTTCTATATGTTTTAGCAGGGAAGACATACTATGTTAATCTCGTCACACGTGAGCAGCTGGCTGAGAAGCCGGCTTCTCCAAGCATTATGGATCCTACACCAGTAAGCATGGATTGGAGTGACACTGGAACGGCTGTGATGCCTCGTGCCCATATATTGAGGAAGCTGGGCCGTTTTGACCTTCATAATGCGGTATGTTGTTCAGATTAAGTGATAGCAAATTCATACGCTTCTTGTATAGAATATTAAGCTTGAGATTCTCCATAATTTTTACTCCATTGGGCCAATCGCATCTGGCAGATAACGATGCACGGAGGTTACAAGGAAGTTGCTCAACAACTAGGTCGCATGCATCTTGGAAGGCGTGAAGTGACTGACTTAGAGTCGGAGATACGGAATTTCATGCGAGAGCATAACTTGTAAGTTGTAATGATATCTGCGATTTTGTTGTTGAGATGATCAGGCTCTATGGTTGAGTACTTGATTATGAAAGAATGCGGCTTGAGGTATCTTAGTCTACTTTGTTTTCACGCCAAATTTAAATTGGCGGCTGTCAAAACTTGTGAGGTGAATATGCAGGTCGTTATTCCCAAAACCGTCCCAGTTGATTGCAGAGAAGCAGGAGGATCTCCTTGCAGCAGTGCGGGAACATGGTGGAGTGGTTGCAGTGGCCAAGAAGATGGGACTTCGAGCACAGAGAAATGGAGTAAGCCCTCGTGCAAATATCTATATGTTCAGTTCCATTTGATCTAGTCGGCTTCAAGTATACATAAAGTTAGTTAATTCATTGTCATTGCATTGGCGTCCATCTCTGCGAGGCTTTTGATTCTTGTAATCCCTTTACCGTGGGCTTTACAAAGTCTTCGAAGATTGGCATCACTTCGCCGTCTTCCAGGTCACTGTATGTACGTGCATTGTGTAATTTGTGATCAGTCTGCACATTGCTGCAGGAAAGGATGAAGATGTTGTGTTCAGCATGTCGTGTTCAAATAATATTGAAGTAACCAGATTAGGGAATGTTGTATGGGGCACAGAAAGGGCGTTGGAAAAATGTAGAAGAAGCTGCACAAGCAATGAAAGAGTACATGTTGGAAAATATGTTAGATAGTTATCCAGAAATTGATCGAAGCGATGCAGAACATCGGAGGGAGCGGATCTGGGCCCAGGCTGTTAAGGAGGGTTCCCTGCGTTTGCCAAAACAAGCAGATATATTAGAAGATGGCCGCAGAGATTTAAGATATGCTCTACAAGTAAGCTCTTTATTTCGTTTAGGTCTTTTGTCCTCTATATCAGGAACTTCGTATCATGACTAAGCCGATAAGGTACTGAAGTTAAATGAGTTGTGCGGCACTGCAGAAATTTGGGCAAGAATCTATTGCAGAGCGTCTTGGTATCAAAGTCTTGACCATGAGGAGACCTCGAATTCGTCGCGCATGACCGTACTCTTTGCATCAACCTTACTGTGCGGAATCTTCGGATTGAACATGCTTGCACTCTCATTGCAACTTTACAAATTGACATCAAGGCTCACAAGTTTGCGTAACCTACACTTGGTTGACGAGATCAATCTGTTTCCATGGAAGTTTTCCTCAATATAACTCCATATGATACAGCTAAAGGAGTGCATCAACGGCTGTGGTATGCACGTCCTGGGATGAAAGCTGTGGTTTGGGAGATGAAACGCAAGCCCACTAATGTATATCACCTCTTCTACTCACTGGGGACTCAACGTTAGTGCGAAGACCCAGCTACTTGCAAGATATGGTTTTTAAGCGTTAACCATAAGTGCTGAATGGCCGGAAGCACATGGAATGATGTATTTGAATGAATGAGGGTGTCATCAGCTATTGATGTTCCCGTTGGACTTCATTATCTAGCCATTGTCAGATCATTCCAAGATTTCTGTTATCCACTAACCAAGTGTAGTTTGGAACTGGAAATATTGCTTAAGATTTGAAGCAATATTGAAGTTGCAATCATGGAAGAAAGCAAGCTGCCAAGATCAGCTCATCAAGTTGGAGGCAGTAATGTATGCATAGAAAGGTTTGTAGCTCAGATTCACAAGGCCTTATGTCCCAACTTTGAATTTAGGAACCCAAATATTGTAATACAGATTATACTCGAACTCCTATCACTTATTTTGAATGAGGCACTACAGTACGTGTTTCATATTGACTAATACAAACACCTCTTAGGTGATAATATTTATACAGCTCAAATAAAGTGAGAACATTATGTCCACAATCATTAATAATAAGTATCATTTCTATATTTTAATTTGATACCAAGGCAAATAAAAAGTTTAAATTATTACTATCCTGTTCATGAAATTCACCATGTGAATCCAAAGATTTCAGAAAAGTAAATATTTATCTTCAAAAAAGTCTGTATTAGGAAAAAATTAGAAAAAATCTACAAATTCCAAAGGTCATTTTTTACACAGTAAAGAATTTCTTGCATGTATATTTCTTCAAGTCTTTCCATTTAGAAGAAATTGACTTTACTTTTGCCACATTTGGTAGTTTTTGAATGTTTGACTTTTTACATCACTTTGCTTATTATATTTTATTGCACATTTTTTTAATTAAATTTTAAATTCAGTACTTTTACAAAAAATGTGAATTTTTTAAACAATTACATTATATATTTAAAAGAGCATAATACAATATTTAGATAAATATATGTATATTTTAAAAAGAGATATTACATTAATACTTATATTATGACTTTTTAATAATAATAAAATATAGATTCAATTTTAAATATAATTTTAAATATAATATAATTGTCAGACATTAACATCAGCATGAGTAATTAGGAGGATAAGATGAATTAGGTAGAAGTATAAATAGATAAATTTAATAAACTTTTGTGAAAAAAATTCTTAGAAGCTTTGTAGATAAATTTGATTTTACAAGTGTTTGTAGGTTATCAGTAGATTGTAATTAAATTATTGTCAATGACATGAATTATAACAAAACTCTAAAGAAGCAATATTTTCTTGTGGCATTCAAAAAGAGAAAATAGACAAATCAAAGATATAAGATAAAAACTAGAATGGCTATTGCCAATTACAAAAAGACTAGAGATTCTTGAGTTAAGACAAGAACACAAAAAAATGTATCAACAACAATGAGGAAGGCCTTGCTCTTGGCTCCATATGTACTATCTAATTAAAGAGCTATATGTCAATTAATCTACATTGAATATAGAGATTATCTTTAAACAACTATTAAGGATAGTAGAAAGGTATGTTGTATTTTTCACCAAAGCAAAAAACAAAATGTCTCAAAGTTTTAAAGCACTTCTAAATGTTGGTAATAGAAGTTAAAATCTTCATTTAAAAATATTTTAGAAATGGAATGTGGATACTACTTATCATTGTCATTGCAAGCATGCACATCTATGTATCTTCATAGAAATACTATTTGAAGTTAAGCATTGTACTAGTTAAGGGAGTCTAAATGTAAGGTTCTTGACATGATGGTTGAGAATGATGGAGATGCATTGTTGAAAATATTAGTATCTATAATTCTATTGGATTTATTTGACTTGGTTACCATTCTTTTGAAAAGATTGAAAGCAATCCATATTGAGCTAAGTGCAGGTTATCCATGATTGTTGAATTTGAGTTTCTATAAAGTAAACAAAAAAATGGTTTGGAAAAATGGTTTGGAAAAGTGTATATTGCCAAAAAAGAATTTAATAAACTAAGCAATCACAATTTCAAGAATATACTATCACATGTGGCAAAGTTGTCCCATCCCAATTTTGTATCTTTTCTTAGCTATACAACAAATGAATAGTCTCATTCTTTTGTTTCTCAATTGATGGATGGAGACCTGAGTCACTGGATGCAACAGAGAATGGAGCTGGTACTTGCGAATACCCTTTCAGCATCTAGGAAGCAACAAAGGCATGCAGCAAATGCATGCAAAAGATGTTATATGCAGAGGTCTGGAGCTGAAGAATATTCTTGTGAAGAGTTCAAATCATAACCATGTGGAACATGTATTCACCAATGTCCATAGAACATCCAAGACTGTTCTAGTAGGGCATGATGGTGGTTAGGTTGAAATGCCACACAGCTTGGGAGTGCATCCACACTATTGGTTCCTACAATTTTAAAATACACTATTACCAAGTCTTGACCAAAGACATGTCTTTCTCATCTAGAATTGCAGGAGAAGTAAACAACTTGTTGGAAGAGGATTGTTTAGCACTGCCACACTGTCCTCAGGACCTGAAGATGTTGATTGAGTCATGTTGGGACCCTTGGTTGATATTTCTTGAAATTGAGAGACTGGAAGATGGAACTCCATGAAATCAAAGAGGTGAATGATGATCAAGCCACCTTGTTCAAATTGTTTTCTAATTAATTAGAGAGTAGACATCATCTCAATATCAATCTTCCTAAAAAACTGGAAGCCACTCAGACCATATCATCTGACAGCGCATCCCAATCATTTAGTGCGGAATTGTGGAGAGAAGACGGTAAACAAGACAATCGTCGACTAAAAGTGTTGGGTACAAGTACCTCAACCATTGTGCACAAAGCGAATTGGGGTGGAGCAGTTAACATTGCAGTGAAAGAGTTACATGCATCGTTTCAAAAGACGGAGCTTGCAGTCTTTACCTTGCCCGCAGTCTTACCGTACCTCGAAGCTTGCGCTGCAGAACATGGGGCCAGCAATGCAACGCCCTGTGGGTCTGTCAAGGGACGCAGCCTTTCCAACTTGGTGCAGCTTGAGGCGAAACCAGACAACGTTTGAGGGGTAGCTTTCAGACGCACCCTAGCTCCACAATTGAAAGACTCTCTGCATCCTTTACATTCCTCTCATTCTGCTCTGAGTTTGAGCGTCTGAGCTTACGCAGACGACCATTTCACGGTTATCCTCTCCATCATTCTTCATCTGGTCAGCGCGAAATTGTGGTCCGGTTTCTAGCACCTACAGCAGATCGTCTGGTTTTGTACAACAGTGGGATTCTAGAATTGTGGCCATTTTTTTTCGAACAAGGGGAGTGATGTAGAGTTTCCAGCATGTGCAGATCTGTCGGATTCGTGCCTCGCTTACTATTCGGGACATAGATTGGGTTCCATGCATGGAATATGAGCATTTCAGGTGGAGTGGGGCGCATGGTGCATTGGGAGCTTCACAGCCACGGGTGCAGCTGGTTGGTTCTACAATGAGTATTGGAGATGGCGTCCAGAATGATAAGCAAGATGCATCAAGACTTCGACTCAGTGTTATGGACGAAATTTGCAAGCATGGCGGTCGTTTTTTTGGCATTTGGAGCGATGCTTTACCAAGATCATGCCCACCCCCGGCCTCCCAGGCGAGTTGCGGTGATCCCGCAGCAAAAACCTGTTTCTAGGGTACGTGAGGGATCTGCAACATCGCACCGGCGTCCAAATCGGTCAGCAGCACCGATTCCTCTGACATTTCGTCAGATGTATAGCCTCTTAGCGGCGCTCAGTGCCCTTTCTCTGTTAGTAAGTCTGCTTTACTATCTTGAATCAGGGAACAGTGGCCCGCAGCGGAACCATCGTCATCTTTCCTCACGTCGATTCACTTAGGGTCGCAAAGAGACATGCCAAGAAGGTATGAATAGTTCTGACAAAGTTCACTTGAAAACTATGTACCGAAGACATGCGTGATACTTCGCTGGACATGGAGATTGATAGCTGTAAAGCCAGCTGCATTTCTCTTATACCCATCTTCATCATCATGTGCAGAATTATCATTAAGTCACCAGATAGCTGCGGAGGAATTAATTTATCAATGGTTTTAATTTCAAATAGTTAGCTTATCAGAGTACCCAGTTCATTCGGTTCCTGACAATTTCGTTCCTAACGGAATAAATTTAATAACAATCTACAGCATTGTACATGATGTGATAAGTTGTTAACCTGCACATTGTATATGCTCACAATGACTGAGGTTGTTGGGAAGTATAATTCTCGTGTCAATACTTGAAATTGTATAAATGATACAGCAGAGCGAATGCAAGCAACGTCATGCTCAATTTTGACCAATCAGATGTCTATATAATACAACAGGGTACGATTACATTGCAAAATAGACATCCAAGATTTCAAACCCATTTGCACTGAACCAGGATCATCATCCAAGCATCAAACACGATAGAAAAACGGCTTAAATTTGACCTTTCAATATTCATTCTGAACACTGTACACTTTCGCAAAACTGAGAATCTCTAGAAGTTCTCTGGCAGCTGAGATGGAGTGACAGTAAATAAATGTGAAAAATACCCATTGTAGTATTCACCAAAACTAAGTAACCCACTCCACTTTACTGCTTTGGGGTGACAGTTTCCTTCGCGCGGTTGAATACGTTGGCCACAGCATCACCGGTCTGCTGCAAAACGTTTCCAGCGGTGTCCTTGGCGCTCACCGCAGTCTCTTTGGCATAATTTGCACCTTCACCAGCCTTCTGTTGGGCGGTGGTCGCCAAACCCGAAGCCTTGTCCTGAGTGGCGCCAGCGGCATCAGCAGCGGTACCCTTGACCTGGTTTGCCTTGTCACCCAAGTAGCCACCCGTCTCGCTGGCCTTCCCGCCTGCGGCGTCCTTGGCCTCATATGCCTTGTCCTTTGCAGCTCCAGCAGCGTCAGCAGTCTTGTCACCAACTCGCTGTGTGGTATCCTTAGCAGCATCAGTAGCTTCGCCTGCCTTGTGCTGGGCAGCTCCGGTCGCGTCGGAAGCGTCAGACTTAGCAGCTTGGGCCTTTGAGCTTGCGTAGTCCCCAGCTTGGCCAGCCTTGTCTTGGGCAGTTCCGGTAGCGCTCTGCAATCACGAGGAAACGAATGTCAATCGCAAGTACACAACCCTGGTCAGAAAAATCAATCACGGACACTAACTTAGAAAGTGAAAGTGCACCTTAGCGGCATCCTTGGCGTGTCCAGCCTGCTCTTGTCCAAACCCCTTGGTCTCCTCCGCCTTCTTTCCAGCCTGCTCCTTGGTTTGCTCGAAGGTCGACATCTCGACGAAAGCCGGTGACGGAGACTGATCTCAAATGCAGAGCTCTAGAAAAACGTACAGATGTGGGGCGAGCTAGAAACACACAATGACTGACTGTAAAACGGTAGAAGAGAGGAAGAAGAACGTAAGTAGATAAGAAGAAGAAAGGCAATTGCAGCGGTTGAATTACAGTGAGAGGGAGATGGAGGAGTTATAAGGCAACGGGGAGTAATGGGTGCCAGTTGGCGAGGCTGCACGTGGACATGACCCCGGCCTGGGAGGGTCCCATGTGTGCCGGATGTGGGCGCTACATGGGTGCCACGCCACTTGGCCATTCCCTACGTGTCACTCCCTGGGCCGTCTTATCCACGTCGGACCACTCCAAAACGGTGTTCGTCTTCCTCATGGAATTCTGGCGCCATCTCAGATTTTGAGCCACGTCAGAGAGAGAATCCGTTTGCTGATTAACAAGGATTCAATATATCATTTCGAATATTAATACATTTATGGCTCCAACTTTGGATGTGTTATATGTGTCTTAGGAAGGGGCAAATCTTATAGACATGTCTAATTCTATGATTCCTAGTTTACCTTTTTTGATAACTAGGTTTTTAATCACTTATTTAAATAACGTGTTTCATTTCGAGATCTTCTATGCTCATAGTTTATGTCTTTTTTTAACAAACTCTATCATAATCATTTATTTTAAAGTATACCATTTAATTTACTTTTTATTTGTCTATTTTAAAAATTATTTTAAGATTAATTTTATATTTTTATTATTTTTTATAATTTATAATTTTATTTTGACATTGTCTTCAAATATACACCAACTGAAGAAGATTCTAATTTTTTTAGACATTTGGTACAACCAAGGATCTCTTCAAATATTACTTGTTGGAGATTTGATATCAAATGTGATGTGTTTCTTAGGCTATATTTATTGACATTAAAGTAATAAAAAAATTATACATTTTTCATTCCTACATCCATTTTGCTACAAGAAAATTGTAATATCTATGCAAGATTATATTATATATTTAAAATGAAAATAGGCATAAATTGCTATTTATATTGTTGTTATTTTTTGTTTTTTTTTTAAAATTTTATTTCATAGACATGACTAATTTATATTAAAATTAAATAATAGTATCTTATTCTATTTAAAGATTTGAACATGATTTTTTTTTCACATTTTTGATACAATTTTCATACTTTTATTATTGCTTTATCTCCTCTTAAACAATAATTCTTTCATCTCCCTCCCCTCTCTTGTATAAAAAAATCATCAAGATGAAATTCCAATTCATTTTTAAGAGTTTAAAAATACATTTCTTTTACTATATAAGGTGAAAGAATCACCATTTTATTATCTTACATTGTAATATATATATATATATATATCAACTCTATTTATATAAGATTCAACATTTCTTGAAGTGTAATCAAAATAATCAATACTAGATCTTTTCCTAAAATGAAGGTTTGTATGTATTCTTAAATATGTCACAATCTACATTTATTTTTTAATATTATTTACTACAAAGATCTTTGATTAAAAAAAATATATATATATATATATATATATATAATTTTAGTAAAAAAAATAGAAATTGATCTTAAAAATGTAATATCTATTAATCTTAGAGTTCTTTTTATTTTATAGAAAAAAATTGATAGTAAGAAGAAATCATCAATAAATTTTATTTTTAAAGTCTCTTATTATTTTTAAAACCTTGTATATATATTTTTTAAATCTTTGAATTAAGAAAATATTTTAAAAAAGATTAAATTATCTAATAAATATATAGAATCCATCTATATATATATTTAGATATTTCTTTAAATTATATTTTATATTATTAATACTTAATAATAAAATAATTATTAGAAATTAAAATTATATAAATTAATAAATTAGTATTTGTTATAAGATACACTTAGATCAACTAAGTAGAGGTCTTAGTTTGAATATATTTGTTGGAAATCTTCTAAAAAATCCTTATTTTCTTTTCTTATTTATAATTTTCTTTTTATATTATAAGTGTTTCTTCTAAGATTTTTTTATAAGATAATTAGATTTAAAGATAGTTATATAATATAGTAAAGAAATTATTTTTGCATAAATTTATCTTTATTGTGTCAAAAATATCTTTTGATTTTTAATTTATTTCAATATTTTATTTTTTACATCTCTATTATTTTGTTTAAGTAAATGGTATTGAAAGAATAAGATTAAAATTTATTTTTTTAAACTTTTACGAAAAATTTCTAAAATATATTTGGATATAGATTTATCTTTAGATTTTTAACAACTAAAGATTTAAGTATTATGTCTCACACCTTTCTATATATAGTTACAAGGTATTATCAAGGACATCAATCTCAAAGAACATAATCCTCAATACACTCTTGTCTTACTCAAAAAGACTAGGAAATCACTCAAAGATGGTAATATATTGAATTAGAATGACTATTGCCAAAGACAAGAAGACTAGAAAGTCTTGAAACAAGACTAAAGATTAGAAAGGCATTGATAAGAGTGAGGAAGGCTTCATTCTTGTCTCTATATATACTTCCTAACTTAAAGCTACATAGTGATATACTATAGGACCTCCAACACATGTTGACTTTTTAGACACATGTCTTAACCTTTAAAATAAGTTATCTATATTTGAACCATATAGTTAGTTTTTTCTACAAGCTATTAATACATGTGATGCGTGGTTAATGTGTTGATCAAATGTTTAGCCTACTAATTAATTACAAATACATATAAAGTCAAAGCTACATCTATGAAGCTTCTCTAGAAGATATTATGAAATTAATCTATTTATACCTACTTCAACTTAATCATATAAGTAATTATTGAAATAAATACGTATGTCCGTGATATTACTCTCCCTTATGGAGACAAATTTAATAAGGAGTGGTCATCATCTTTTATGGATCTTGCTTTTCTTTATCTTAGTATTGGTGGATGTTGTCAATGAAAAGCCTCAATCCTCTTTGTTACATTTGCAAGATTTTTTGTTGGCTTTCATATGCATTCACTAATATCATATCCATACTAATGAACAAGATATTCTAATCTATTTTGGAACTATCTTGAATTTAGGACTTCTATTATTTTGAATTTTTAATTATTATCCACTTTTTAAAGATAGAGGTGGTATTTGTCTTTTTTTTAAAATTTTTATTGTCTCAAAAGAGTTAAGAAGAGATATATGCAATATAGGATGGATCTTCATAGACTTTAGTATATGTAATTAATAAGCAACAAAATTAACTTGCTCAGAAATAAAAAATGGTCTAAGTCTACAACAATCTAACTTGTTACAAGAACAAGTAGTCTTGATATTACAATGAAATAACCATATCTTGTCACTTATATTGAATTGTGGTTGTTTCTTATAATAAACATCTCCATTGATCTTTTGTCATTTTTAAGCTTCTTTTAGTTATACCTTCATTGTTATATCTACTTCTAAAAAATGATTTGCTTAATCTTTTGTCATAAGATTATTAATTTTTAAAAAGTAAAAAAATATCAAGTCATGGATGATAACCATAATTGGCAAAGAAAGATATTTGTTGAATAGAAGAATATATCAAATTATTATTTATAAACTTTGCCAATGGTAAAAGAGTTGTTCAATCATCTTGATAATAGTTCATGTTATATCTCAAATACTACTCTAAAACTTCATTTATATGTTTTGTTTGTCCATTAATTTGAAAATAAAAAACCAAATTTTTTTTATATCTACCTTTAAAATCTTAAAAAGAATTCTCCAAAATCTTGATACAAATTAAGTTTTTTTATTTAATATAATATCCTTAAAAAATTTCATGATAGTGATAGATGTTAAGAAAAAACTTAGTTGTTTCTTTACTTATGATAGCTTTTGTACATGGTACAAAATGTGCCATCTTGGTAAAACAATCTACTATCATGAATATAGAATCATACAAATTTGAGATTGAAAGATCTGTAATAAAATCTATAGAAATAAAAGACCATGATTGTTTCAGAATAGGTAATGGCTATAAAAGTCTATAAAATCAATGATAAGGAGTTTTTGATCTTAAATAAATATCACATGATTATAAAAAGTCTTTAATTACCATCTACAATTGAAGCCACAAAAAATCTTTAGATATTAGCTCTAAAGTCTTGTTGTATCCAAAATGTCCAATTATTACAAAGTCATAATGAGCTTAAAGAACATGTAATTGAGCTTTGCCTTTTGGAATATATAATTTTTCTTCAAAATAAAATAGATTATTTTTAAATTTAAACTTAGAAGTATCATAAGATTTGAAAGAATTATCCTTAATATTATAAAAAAGAAGATCAAAGGACATACTTGATTGAAATTATTTAAGAAATATTGAATCAATAGTCAATATTGATTTTATTGCTCAAAGGTGAAAATTTTCTAGCTTTAAGAGAATTATTATTTATTGTTGAAAAGATGCATTTATTTCTTTTGATGCAAGATAAAAACATCTAAAAAATACATCTGACAAACCTTGTTATTTTTTGAATCAATAAGTAATCTTGAAATCAAATCTTGATAAAGACATACTCCAATAGATTTGGCAACAATTCAAAACTTGTACCAATATTCAGAAGTTGAGGTTTTTGTAATCTATAAATATAATGATTGAATTTGAAGTGATTTCTAAATAATGATTCTATTTTTGAAATGAATCTATGATTATAAGAAGCTCTTTGTTGTGGATCTTGTAGTTAATCTTGGCTATTGAAAATTTCTTAGAATAAAAAGCTATTGGGATGGACTTGTCATCTCCTCTCATTTGTGACAAAACTACATTTATAGCAAAATCTGATGCATTTTTTTCCATAAATAATACTTTAAAAAATTTGATATGATACAATATTGGTACAAAAATAAATATTTTTTTAAGGCTTTAAAAGATGCTTCAACTTCTTTGCTCTACTCAAGTTTGTCTTCATATGTTAGATGTATAAGTAGAAAATAACTTAAAAAAAATTCTTGATGAAGATTTAATAATAATTGACAAATATCAAAAAATATTGTATATTTTTTATTGATTTCGAAATCTTTCAATCTATGATAGTCTCAACTTTCTTTAAATCCAACATAAGTCTATAATTTAAAATAATATATGTTAGGAAGTAAACTTGAATAGTATGAAATATATACTTTTC